GGGGGTACGTCGTACAGCAATATTCTTCCCGCTTCCCTGCGATGTAATAAACGAAAGAAGAAAAAAAAACACAAAAAGCCCTATCCGTTTTTGGAATTGTCCAGACGCATATTCATGAGATTCTCTTTCATTCTCTTCACCTAGTTCACTGCCCTGTCCCGTGGATCGGGGAGGCGGTGGTTTCAATTTGACTATATTATAGTGCATTGTACATTACCGGCCAAATAACTTTTTTCTGTCTTGTGTCGTATTCTGAAACAGGCTGTCTGCCACCGTCTAGATCTTTCACCCTGTATTTGATAAGAGTCTCGGGTAGGTCTCCAAGCATCTTGTCCTTGTCCCAAACCACATCCCCCACCGATGCATTCTGCATTTCTGGTAGAGAAAAGATAGGGGTACGAGCTCCGTGACGAAAAGCCACTTGAACATGAACTAATTGATATTCTTTGTCTTCTTCTCTGGCAAAGATGACATTATGATGATATTTTGTAGCCTTTTGTGCGGTTTTCACGGAAAGAAACGCTCCTAAACCTATCCCACAAACCCGACCGAGAAACTTCAGTCGGGCCGCCATTTTGAACTTTTGGGAAATACACCATGGGCTTCCTGTGTGTAAGGATTTTTAAAAATCAGGAACTGCGGAACGAAACCCGCTCAGCAACCGGAACCACCGGAACTACTGCGAAGCGGCATTATTGGTGTTTGAGTTTGTAAGTAAAGGGCCCCCTAGAAAACACTAACATCCTGGATATCCACCCCACAGAATACAAAAGATTCTCTTCGTGGTATTTCTCATGATTACAGACTGCCCTTCACGGATTAAATGGCCGGCAGTTTTGAATTATCGACGATTTCTCGACGCAAACTAAAATTATTATTTTTTCGATTGGAGTTTCATAAGAAAAAAAATTTAGTAGGCATTAATTTCAGGTCACCCATCCAGGTACTAACTTCGCTCAGCCGGACTTGACTTAGTGTGATCATATGGAGCGCCCAAGTTCTTTCCACTGGACTACGGTTACAGGTGAATCAGCATAACAATAGCTATAAAAACAATGCATCAGATAGACTACACTTTTTAACATCAAAATTTCAACCGATTCCGTGCGTGGCAGTAATGCAAGGGATTAGCCGATATGGTCTGGGGGCCGGCTGGTCTCTCCCCTGATGCTTCGKCTAGAACATTTTCTTGCGTAATTCGTACACCCAAGGACAGAAGGATTTAATTGCCGTCAGGTCCGAAGTCCATACGAAGCCTCAGCTCTGCGGATGTCTCGGGGGTATGGCAAAGTGGAATCTTTTTTTTTTTTTTTTTTTTTTTTTGAAATTCTGTCGGCGTTTTCAAACTCTATCGTTTCCAGAGCTTTTACTCCACTTAATTCCGATTCTCGGTTTTTCCCTTCGTTTTATTTGAAGCAATGTCCCCTATTGGCTGCCGTACGTTATTGTATTGGTATTCGCGTATTTGAATTTGTATCTGTGTATTTGGATGATTTGTATTCGGTGTCATATCTCATAGGCTGCGCAAAACTGTTCCAAGCGAAAAAACGTGTGAGCCTGCGTTCCCCATGGTCAGCATCAAAGAACGAACGCCCGAACGCAAGCCACAAATTCCACTCTTGTTTATACGGAACGAGATCAGTAAGATCGACCTGTACTCGAGTTTTTCGTGGATGCGCACGTCATTGCTAGCATAGAAACTGTTGCTAGGCCGCCACATTGGTGTACAGTAAATAATAAACAAAAACATACGTGAAGCTAAAGCTACTGTTATTTGAACTGAGATTTATTTGTCGCCTTGTGTGTGATCCTATACTAGTTTTCGCCTTAAATGACCTGCATGTATTCATTTTTTCTCATGCCGCTCTGTTGAATATCGCGGATAGGTTTTAAAAAGTAACCTGCTGGTCAGTAACGAACGGGTGTGGCGTGGCGTAGAGTCTTTTAAAATATTATAACGACTAAGATTGTTGTGGCGTAAAAAATATTGAACTAGACTATACTAATTTTTCAGAATAACCTTATTTACATTTTTACATATTTAGAAAACAATTCTGAGTTGGAATCCCATCCGGGACTCTAATATTTTTTGAGTTGTAAATTACGTAGTGTATATGGCTTGCCCTTCGTTTGAAAATGCTGTGAAAATGCATATAGATAAAATGCGAGTTGAGCACAATACCTTTTCAAAGTCACGTACGGTATAAGTTAATAAACGTTTCCAGTTCTTATAGGATAAGAGACACCAACTTAACACAACTGCTATTAGTGTGAAAGATTTGCTTTACTTGAACGAACTTTAAAACAAGAAAGACTTTATTATGAAAAAGTTTGATTCACAATTCAGAGATATGCTAAAATTTGCTTAAATTGTCAGATGATTCGATGGAAGTACTCTGCTTTGGTCGAAGCCGGTCCATGCTGCTTCCATTCATTAAAAACCGCTTCGACCAAACACTTCATGAAAACTTCGTCAAAACAAGAAAGACTTTATTAAGAAAACTTTTGATTCATAATTTGAAATACGCTAAAATTTACTTAAATTGTCAGATGACTCGATGGAAGTACTAGGCTTGGGTTCAAGACAGTCGCCATATGCAGTTCCATTCATTAAAAACCGCTTCGACCAAACACTTCATGAAAACCCACAGAGTTTATCAAAAAGCTTCTTTGGTCTTTTTATCAAACTTAGAGCTGCTTTGGCATTCTAATATAAAGGCCCACTAGTTTACACGGGGGATTTTTGAAGCGATTTGAGGTCAATTTTGGCGACGATTGGGATTTGCTTATAGTCAAGAATATAGGAAGAACTTTTAAAGTTTTATTCTGGACACCAAAAATATCTGGCAAATGTGTCTTTAGACTAGCCATAAGACAACATTTGTTTCCCGCAATGTTTTAAAATATATATATAGGTATAAAGGAGATGATTATGCAAACATCTACACAAATCGTTTATATTTTTATTTCAGTTAATTAAAATAAAAATTCATTCATATATGTACTACATCTCACTTCGGTGATGAATGCAACGATCCATAGCAGCGAAAATATCGGGTTTTTTTGTTTTTTTATTTTTTATTTATTTTTTATTTTTTTGTTTGTTTGTTTGTTTTGTTTTGTTTTTTTTTCTATCCTCAAGAAAATAGGCCAGAAACTCCTTCGATAACAATCTACTTTCAATCTGAGTCACGCCTAAAATAAATAGCTACTTGAATACCAGCTTGTTTTTCCAATTGTTGACGCGAGCTGTTTCAATATTGCCACCGTGCAATATAAGGGTTTTTCATCAGTGACATCACGCTGTCTAGAATTTTWAAAAAATCTGAATTAAAAGGGAGTTGATATTCAAAGTTGTCATACAGTATTAGGAAAACTATGAAGTTTCGTGAAGGTCGCACGTAAACTTAAATGAAATCTTACGAAACAAATCTATCTTGGCAGGGAAAATTTATCCTCCAAGGATACATCCCATATTTCGCAAAAGTTTCAAAAAAGCTATACATCCTCTGGCGTAGATTATGGACAATATTAACGTAGCTTTTGAGACTAAAATATCTATATGAAAATTTTGATTGCAAACTCTTTTTTTATGATACAACAAAGATTTTTTTATATATATGAATAGTAGCAGGACGTCACAGTGAGAGACCTCAATAACCAGCCAGCGACGCTTACCATATGACCAGTAAATAGTCCTGGTGAGATGCTATTGAATAGAGTCTAGAAGGCCATGCAGTGCTTTTCAATACCAACTGATATTATTGATTGGATCTTGGCAATCATTCCAACAACGCTATCGATCCGACGCCGCGGTACCATCTGCGCGCTTGATATCAACCGAGTCAATAAGCGAGAATGGGAATAAACCTACTCTTTATTTACCTTGGGCAGACAGAGCAGAAAAACGACAAGGCTGCTACTTTCGCAATTTTTTTTCTTTATATTTCCTTTTTATGCTAAAAAAAACTTTTAGTGTTTCATACGTGTCTCTTGTGCTTTAAACTTTTCACAAAATTCTGCTAACCTCGAGCAATTCTACTTCAAGGTATTAGCGAAAATGTTAGTTTTTGTGCTAATCAAAATATCATCTCTTCCAACGTTCAGGGCGTTATATCTCAAATACACATCCCTTAAATTTCCCCAAATTTTGGTATTTTGTTAATCAGCCCCAAAAGAGCCTGTTTATGAAATATAAAGCTTATTAACGCATAAACGTCGAAAGTAGAACCCGTTTTTCTGCCCTGTCCCTTGGGCGTAATGTTTTCCCATTTCACACCACGTAACATTCCCTCTAGAATATAAATCCTTTGTTAACCGGTTGTGTACGAGAAGACACATGAATCATTCGTCGGGAAYCCAGAGGTAAAATGATATCGTCGCCCTCCGCTTTTTTTCTGGAAGCGAAAAACGAGCGACAGAATTTTACCACTGGGTTACCAAAGGGGTTGCAAATGAATATGATATACAACTTAAATTAAAAAAATTATTCTCAAGGGTAAAATGTTAACATGAGGTCTGAAATGGGGAAACATTTCGCCCAAGGTAAAATCAGGTCTATAAAAATTGAAATTGAAAATTTATTGAGAAATTAAAGGAATGTTTAGATTAAAATGAGAGTGATAATGAAAATATGAACRAGAATATGGGAATAAGAATGAGTGCAAGAGAATTACAATGAGAAGGAAAAATGCATAAGAATGAGAATTTAAATTGGAACGAGGGAAAAGGAAACATTATGATAGTAAAAATATATACGAAGATGAGAATAAATATGGGAAAGTGAAAAAGCTTAAAAAATGGGAAATTTTATAAGAATGAAATCGAAACAATATGCGAGTGAGAATGAGATTTGGAATTGAAATAAGACTGAGGTGAAATTAAGAATCATATTGATAAGTAAAACTGGGAAAAAAGCAGGAAAATACACTAAAACCTTAATGAATTTCAGGCTAAAGAAAGAATGAAAAACTAAAACAAAACAAAAACAAAACAATGAAAAAGAACAAAAAGCAAAACCCCAAAGAAAGCAACTAAAATTTATTCTTTATTTCTACTAACAAAACATAGATTACTTTTTGCTCTGCTGTTATCTTGAGGCCCTCAAGTATTTTATTATCTACTGGCAACTTTATTATCTGGTACAGTAATCCATCCATCGTGTGTCTGGTAAAAATAAGAGTTAATTGTGCCTTAGGGGATAATATTTTTCTTTGTTTCTCTAGATTTTCTAATTTGTTTGCGGATACAATTCAGTCGGCTTCAATTTTCCTTTGAAAGAAGTTGTTACGAGTAGACATTTTCACCTCTAAAAATATTATAATCGAAAGCTCGAACTGGCCGGAAATTCGATGACTTCTTTAGGATCCAAATTATCAGGCGATTAATTATAAGTGTGGTATAATCTTCTAGTATGTCTGTGGGTAACGAAGGGAACTGATGGACGACGAACCAGCTCAAAACTGTTTCCTAGTAACACGTTCACACCTCTTTTTATTTCAAAGTGCCATACTAACCAACATGGCGGCTGTATTCGCCTCATATCTTCAAGACAAAGAAGAAGCTTCTTCATCTGATTTC